TTACGCATTGCACTGTCATGGTTCGACTCCCGCTTGGGGTGTTGATAAGATCTGGGAAGGATGGAAACTACAGTCCAGCCTGGATGAGAACACCTTTTGGTAAAGCAAGGATATGGAAAATTCGACAGAAACGTCAGCTCTATTCATAGCATTGTTTGATAAATCAACTACAAAAAAGTCTACGTTGTCCAACCAAACCATGAGATGCCTCAATAAATGGACCAAGTTGGTATCCTTCTCTGACGATGTCCATCACATGAAAGACGAAAGGCAAGGGTTCATCTGGGTCGCAGGGCAGTGGGCCGAGATTCCATTCGCACAAATCTCCGATTACCGCCCAAAGACACTAATCTCTTTAGCTTCAGGTGAGGCCAACTTTTGAGTCCCTTTCTGCTCGTCTCTTGAAACGACATGAAAGGTACTCCAACATCAATCTATTAAAGGGATTCTTGGAAACCTAGACTTTCTACATATTCAATCACCCTCAGTTGTTTAAGCTCATTTGAGAAAGAATATCGAAGTTGGTCCCGCAACTCCAGGAGGGTTCGCCTCGCGATACCGTTACATTTCACTTTTTATTTCGGGAATTGTATAGAGGCAAACACTTATATGACTTCAAGATTGATGGCATTACCTATTTACTAATGTGTAGCCTAACAATCACTCAGTACCGACAAATTAAGTGACATAAAGCATCATTTAAGAGTGAAGCATCGTTCTCGATTTGGGGCTTTGTTGCCTTTTTGGTAAAGATGATGTCTGGCTCCAATGCTAACTGTCGTGGAGGGGCAAATTATAGTCTAGCACTGATTTATCGAGATCGCGGTACATTTCGTGTGTAATTACGCATCCATTGGCCTTGAAATATTTTTAGTAGTTTTCAGTTGTATGCATTATGAGAGACACAACTTAGAAAACATTCCTGTAGATGTCCCTAATATATCTAACTAGTCTCCTATGGCGACAAAATGGGAGGTAAAGATGAAAATAAGTCCAAGCATATTTACACATTATTAACCAACAAACAGGAGCAGATAAGCGAGGATACGCAGAACTTTACAAAATAATAACCAATTGGTCTTTAAGATGGATAAATGTGGAGCGAAATTGATTCGAGAATAGAGACTATAGGCCAATAAAATGCAAGGTACACCTCGTGTACTGAAGAAGAATCCAAATGGGAAGATCAATTACAGGATACGCTCGAAGATATGCAATAGATCAGAGAAATAGACAGACGTAGGAGGAATCTTCTGTTTCAACAAAGAATGGGAACATCCGATAGTCGACAATAAGTAGCGAGCAACACACAAACTGGCCAAGTTTATATACAAGATACATAAGAATTTTAATCAAAGTTATCAGACGTATTGAAGAGTTTATATGAACTTTCGCAAAGGCCCAAAAATATAGAACTGGACGAAACAAAATTGATATACACGCAATGAATACAAACATCGCTGGAGCTCAATCACTAACAGGCCTGTTGGAAATCTCGGAACAAGAGGAGGACACCCTAGAAACGGAGAAGATCAGTAGGGCAGTAAAACGTCAATGTTCAGTCTTAGCAACTTGGTTGGACGCATCACGTTCGAAGTCCATTGGTATGGTAGTCAACATCATTCTCAGATTAGGACCGTAGACTTGGTGCATTCGCAGACGCTCCGCCGGCATCGTCTGTGAGTCTTGCCATTCTCAGCACCAAGCTACAACTCGTCAAAGAGACATGTCCACTCGATCCTGTAATCACTCGTCACCTTGGTAACTTGTAGTTTGGTGCTGAGAGAATGACAGGACGGTAAAATGTCTGGGAAGTATGATGAATACGAGGGCAGAGGACTTCGGACTAATTCGACCTGACAACACGACCAAGTTGTGAAAACGAAATGAGACTGTGACCAAATAGAGAGGCCACAATGTCTTGCTTTTCATATTTACGTTTAATCATATGATTTTGGGAAAAAAACCCATTGTTAATCTATATCCCAACTTAATCGTTCTGATCTAAATGTTACTCCAGTTTAAGCTAATCACAAGCGGTATGTATTTCTGCCCTTGTGCAATTCCTCACAAGCCCTCGTGTGAACTGGAGAGTAGAGGGTCAAATGGGCACTAAACCCAAACATCATGTGGTTGGAGGGTGTGATGTAGAGTGAGCTTTCTGTGGTTTCACTGGTGCCTGTGCCTAATGCACGATCCACATTTGCATAGAGCCCTCTTCTCCTGCTCAAAACAGGATTTGCATACTTTCTCCCCATTTAGAGGGTTTCACACTCGCCAACTCAATCCGGCTACAGGTCCATTTTGTAGGCATCAACCGAGCACGGTCGAACCGGCCTCGTGCCGCCCTGATCCTACACGTTGCCCGCGTCACATGGACCTGGTCATGTGTTGTCATCACAGCAACCGGACAACCCCAGTCCGTTCATCCATCCATGGCCTTCACGACCGTCGGGCGGCTGCTAATTACAAGCCAACCGCTTGTGGGTCACCACGTGAGAGGCCAACTTGCGGCCAGCACGCAACTCAAATGAACCATGTCAACGCAAGGCGTCCAGTCTGAGCATGTGAACAGCCGTCTAGATGTGTAGTCAGGTGTGTTTGTTTGTGTGGCTGTGCGGATGTGTGTGTGTGTGTGTATGTGGATAGGTCTACATTAATGAAGAGGGTGAGGTTGAGGCCGTGTCGGATTATGTTTGTACTTCACTTGACCTTGTGGGGGCATTTGGCAGAATGCCTGGACCCGTAATTCAGTGCGTCTGTTTCATCTCAAATTCACATAATTCCGAGTATTGTGATTCTGAGGAAAAAGTGACATTTTGCTGTATGAGAAAAAATGAGGTAGAAAAGACGCCCAAGTTTCGGGACTACCAGGCAGTCTTTAATACATATTTGGTTCAATGGTTGGTTGCAGAAGCTTTCCCACAAACATTCAAGCAAAGTGGATGTCTTCCTGACCGCTATTCAGACCGTAACTTTTAGTTTCACCCTTTTTCCACTGAATTCATCATCATGAATACAGCCGCCACCTCTTATTGGCGATCAGAATGGGCTGAACCACCATCTGACCCTTAAAGAGTTTCAATAAAATGAGGCCGTGTGAAAAAAAATAAAAATAAATTCTTTACCTCTATCTTGGCGATTAGCATCAAAATGTTCACCCTTTTCGTATCCTTCAGAACTCTCTTCTGCTCTTCTTCTCGATTTCTCCGTGATATCCCACTAGACCCTTTATTTTTATGTAACTTGACCACATTCGTCAATTGGTTTCTTGTATATTTTGTTGTTTATGGGTGTATGCTTATACTGTGTGCAGGTTGTTTAAACTACTTTTAAGATGAATAGAAATTATTGTATAATTAAGGTGTTATAATTTTTTATCCTATTTTTCTGTATATAGCTTTAGATTTTTAAACAATAAAAATCCCCCAATATGCATAGAAAATTTCGAAGTATGTATTTAGAAGGAATTCGTAGATTGATCGCCTCGGTAAAAAGAGTATGATTGCCTTGGAGGGGTGAAAACGTTTGGATTGTATTAAGACGTGATGGACATCAACGGAGCAAAAACGCATACTCTACGAAATCGCCCAGCAATATCCTAACCAAATGTAATGGTATATATATATTATTGCTATATTGTTGTGTGTGTTGTGTTATCTTGCTCTGATGCTGTCTGTCACGTGACAGTCCACGTACATATCACATCTTCATAAGAGTCGTATGAAAGGAAGCCAATGACGTTTTGCACAATCCAACATTCCTCAATCCTTCAAGACAATCAATCGGCTTCAGGGGAGACCCATTCACGAATTTCCTCCAAATCGAAAGTATATTTGCGAGTCATACATCCATTTTTATGTTGCTATGGCCTGTAGACCAAATGCATTCGGATTAATGTTAATCCGAGAATCTCCATGATTGCGAGATGTCATCCAAACTCAACAACCCAACGTTGTGTTAGAGAAATGTATGAAATTTTCGTCCCCCTGGCCGATGGTTCTGATAAAATGGGTAAAACTTCATCAACCTACTCCGGCTAACCGTTCTCCTGTATCAACCTTTACCATCAAAGCGCTATAACCTCTCAGCTTTTGAAATTCTTTGTATGCGCTATGATACATTTGAGCAGTCTTCATGGACAGATTGTGCCTTATCACCTCACGCTTATCACTTTACTCGAAACAGATACACTTTTGTGTGATGACAGGTCTGTATCAAAAACATGTTCATATGATGACGTCGCGTTCGCTTCTTCTGCTAGCACGTGACCGAGGAGTTCTGATTAGACGAGTTCTGGCTATCTGGACTATGCTCAACGCTCAGGTCGTCATGACATCTGTCATGTACAGATTAGTAGGACGTGTCTGGTAAAGGGTTGATTTGATCAGCATAACACAAGATAGGGTCAGGCTGTTGCCAAAACCCTGATTTGGAGAATGTTTTTATTCAGGCGATGGACCATGGACTCAATTTCATCTCTACTCATCACTTCTGATGGGATTCGAATAAAGTTTATTTTAAGTGAAACCTCCTACTTTTAGTGGCCGGCTTCCTTAAAAGTCTTCACCCCACCATTATAGCGTTATATTTGAAGTAAAAGCAATTGCAAACAAAAAGTTTTCAGTCGTTAATTCTGTAAATCTGAATGCTTCGAGTCCGTTCTAAATAGAATTTTTCGAAACGATGCCAGTCGTCCATCTGTGTCGAGCAACAGTTTAGAAACGTCTCGCTAATTCCAATTTCATTATCAGGTTGCCATTATATTAGGGTTAAGAACAAGTCAGAGGAGCTAGTCTATAGAACCACATTCGTCAAGTGGTTTCTTGTATATTTTGTTGTATAATTAAGGTGTTATAGTTTTTTATCATATTTTTCTGTATATAGCTTTAGATTTTTATACAATAAAAATCATTCATTATGCATAGAAAACTTCGAAGTATGTATGTTTGCTATTTATGGGAGTTTACTTATAATTTGTATAAGTTGTAAATTTTAGAGTGGCAAAAGTTGGGATATCTCGTTTTCTCTCCAACATCCTGGGAAACAGCAAAATACATCAAGAATTTAGTCTTGACTACTTGTATGAACGAGTTATGAAATTAATTTGATCGTCATCTAGTACTATGATGTTACTATGATGATTGAATCTGACGCAAATTTACGGAGCATCCTGTGACTGATTGCTCTCTTAGATCCACGGCTGAATTGTATCGTAGCTGAATATGTTAAAAAAAATTAACGTATTACTTTGATAATACCGCAATTATTACTTCAACAATCCATTCTATTCTTTGGTGCTGTTAAACATAGTCATTACCTTTCATTTGTTTGCGATTAGGAATCAAATACTCGACATTTTCGTATATATTTGCATAACTGAACAACCATTCTAGCCATGATTAAGCAGTTAAATTCACTAAAGTGTTGATTCAACCTCGTCCAATCGCACCACCAACACTTTCAGGGGTACTCGAATAATGGGAGAGGTGAGCAGAGAGACGAAAAAATGTCCCATTCTCGCATCACTACGGCATTCTCATCCTTATTAGCTGATGTGTACAAATCTATCAAGAATTAGTGATAGTTTTGAAAACAACTTGCTCCGACAGTAACGTTACCGATTTCACTGTTAAGCGCATGCTTGTTTTCTTGGCAATCCCACTTGTAAATGTGACTTGGCTGAATCTTGGTTTATCTTGTGGGGAAAGTGGGTCCAAAATTATTAGCCAGAAATCTCTCCAATGGACACCCAACGTTGGCAACCAATGGGGCTGTTCCATATTCGGTAGAGGGTGACTAAGGATCGTATTCAAGAAGTATTGATGGTCCAGAAGATATTCACATCGAAAACAAGTGATGACATCTGCAACTTTTGATATAAATCTGTCCCACTGGCAGCAATCTTACTATAAATGTGGTATGAAATAGGCTTGGCTAACTTTGAAAGTCATGTGGAGCATTTGCATCTGCAGCAAAGTGGCAAAGTGCCGAATGAAAGACATCAAAATACGTTGCCGGATTTGGCTGATCCCTTATTTACGAGATGGTGATCATGATGATTGTGTCAGTGGCTCCAATACAGATGAATTCGAGTATAATAATGATAATGATGCTGATGGTGGTCATGATGATTCACGCGAAAATGTCGTTTACCATTATGGCTCTAAACTACAGTTGCTAAACTCTCCTCCATTCAAAGGGCAAGTTTCTGCTCAAAGGAGTCGCCTAGGTTGGCCTAATTAGAAGTTAAAGGTTATTTTATGTTGGCCTATTATCCCTTAAAGTTAATAGAGCAAAACTTTCCAAATGAATCTCTTGAAGCCACATTTTTCCATAAATTGAGGATGAATTCAACAATTGTACAGCATGGGATTCATCGAATACAAGGTTTCTTAATATATTTCTTGTAAATTCCTACTGATTCTCTCATCATGACCTCAAGTTGGTTACGACCAAACCTGGAAACTATCTGAAGTAA